GTGTATAAGACAACCCTCAATTTTTTGTCTAAAGACTTTAGACAAAAGTAGCATCTTATACACAGAAAAATATGGTATTATCAGCAAACTTTATTTGTTAGGGAAATTGGAGGACTGGTTACAAGCAGAAAATATCCTTGCAGATGAGCAGGCTGGAGTCATACCGGAAGGTCAGCTCTAGACCAGGGCTTTATTTTCCACAGATTGAGTCATTATGGGCACATTGTGCAGAATGTGTGCCTCTATGCATGCTTTTATAGTGCAGAAGCTGCGCTGAGACTAAAATTTTCTGAGATAGACTCATTTTCACCATGGAGAAGATTAAAATGATTGAGAATTAATGCCTCACAGAGCAGTAGTAATTTCAAACCAGGACCACAGACTTTCCTTCTTTCATCCTATCCTTTGTGCTTTATGTTCTTCCATTTTGCAAGATAATTCTGCCCCTCCTCAGAATTTATTTTCTGATATGTGTGGGCTGCTATCTTCTCCTAATCTAATAATCTCTCCAATGAGCTCTATAGCCATGTTTATCTGTTTCGATCTCACCACTGTAAATCAGATGCTCTTGAGTCTGGTAATTTTTAAAATCAGTGTACTTTGCTCAATTTGTCTTACCTCTACCAGGCTTTGATTGTGGGACTGTATCTCTTAAATTGCAAATCGTCACAACAAACACCCTTTACTATTGTGTGGATGTGGGAAATCCCACAGACAGAACAAGCATGGGAGCAAAACACATCGAGTAGGGATGTGAAGAAATGCTGCCATTGCTAAGATTTTCTTTCTTCTAGCTTTGTGAGACAGTTCCCTGGGGGGTTTCTTCAAAGTCAGAGATCTAATCTTCAGCACAGAACTGAGACCGCAAATGGTTCTTATATCTTTGAAGAAAAATATATATATATATATTTCAACAACATATACTCTGCAGTAGAGTATATGTTGTTTCATAGTATTTCTGTGGAAAAACAGTCTTTCCCTTTTGTGAAGCTAAGTGGACTAATGTAGCAGGACAGGCTGATCCATCACTGAGACACAAGCAACACATCCAGTGCTAGTGCTGTTACAAGTTGGATAGTGTTCCTGCATTTTTCAGTGCTGCTGCACATTTTACAGAAAGACACAAAACCACTTGTGGTTCTAATTCAAGAATCTAATTTTAAAAGACCCATCTCACACCAAAGGGAAAACATCTGAAGGCTTTTTTAAAAATCACCGTGCATGGATGAATTGGATCAGGATTCACACCCTTGTCTTGCTGCCACTTGTTCCAGGCACACAGCAAAGTGGATTACCCCATTGCGTCAATACATTAAGATTAATACTTCCTGTCTGACTAGAAAATCATAGAAAACATTCTCAGTGGCAGCTACTACTTGCCTCACTGCCAGAAGAACTGCAGGTTGCCTTTATGTAGTGACCCAAAAGCCTGGACAGACTGGGTGATGGCATGTCTGTATCAGGTGGCGCCAACTGTTCCTTCTGCAAACCTTCCGACAAAGGATGGGGAATGTGCTCTGGTTATTCTTGGACTACAATTCCCACCATTCTGTCTTGAAGACCAAAGGGTAAAGAATGATGAGAAATGCAGTTTTAAACATCTGGAGAGTGACTTATCCTGCACCCCAGAGTTGACCAGTGAGGTTGGGTAAATCCAGTAATCTTAGTGCTGCTGCATCTCTGCTGCCTAGATAATTCACAAAGGTTATCTTATGACTCAGGAAAACCAATTATAGAATTTGGTCTCTGAATTCCCTTCTTCTTCTTGTGTTATTGTGCCACATGACTTTACAACTGGCCAAGGGAAGGAAGACGAAGGAACTTGAGGAGACATTGTTTCTTCTTTTCAATTTTACCACAGTGCAAACTCTGGTGTGATGAAGTCTCTCATTACAATATTATAGTCAAAATTTAGAAAAGTCACTTTTTTGAATTAGAACTACCAGAGTCTCATAATCAGCATGACCAATACGGGTGATGGGATTGAAGATTCTGGGAAATACAATATAATATATAAATTATATTTACTTATTTATTTATTATTCGATTTATACCCCACCCTTCTAGACAGAGTCTACTCGGGGTGGGGTATAAATCAAGCTCTGATTACTATCAAACTACGTACCTTCAGTTCCTTGCTAGAATGTGGAAATGTACCTCTACATGTTTGTTTTTTACACATTTTTTTACACTTCATCTGTTTCCATCTAAATTCCTGCTCAAAGCCCTCCCATGCTAATTGAATGAACCTTATTGCAAATATTTTGTTGGAAGAGAAGCTTGGCTGTTATAAAGGTTCCATCTATGGCGCAATTGGCCATTCCCATGAGAATCTCTCCCTTCATGTCATAGCCACTGAGTGACAACAAGCATCTTATATGACTTGGTCCACACTTTGCTCTTAACTTTCAGAGCTAATAGGCAACTCTAGGCATCTCACATGATACAGACCTGGAATTTGTGCCCATCTGAAAGCAATGGGCTGGGGGATAGTACTTTTTGAAGAGGAGAACCACCAGGCCCTTGAGACTCCCCCCTCCCACACTCAATGCATTTCTCCTACAGTTTCTTTCTCAGTCACTCTCTCAGCGGAGCATCTTTTATTGTGTTTACTGCTTTGCACAAAAGCAAGCAACAGTTGGAGGGGGAAAGTGGTTGCCTGACACTTCCCAATTGTAACTTACATTCTACCCTTCTCTGCCACATGTTGCTTAGCATCGGCTCAAGTGCCTGGCTTTCCAGTCCTGGGCCTTTCCCAGAACCTTACCGAAATGAGCTCACAAGGATCACAAGGCTACAACTTGCAGCTCCTTAAGCAACATCCAGCAATTCCTTCAGGAAAGAGCCGATGGAAGAACCTCAGTTCCACTCCATGTGTGTGTGACATCATTGTCCTTGTTCTTCCCATGGAACTCTGATTCAATTCCACAGAAGGTTCTGTTCCAAGGACTGTTGGGAAATAAGAAAGCCTGCTGCCTCTGACTTAGGTTTCCTCTTCTCACTTCTCTCATTGGCTGATCGATCTTTTTCCTAAACCCTTTCTTGTTTTTTGTAGTATTTCTGCCTCCATTTCTCTGCAGAATCATTTGGCTTAATAATTACTAGATTGATCCATTTTGGCAAGAAAGGTAAAGTCCATAGTTGTACTATATATAACTGTACCAAAGTAATAACATGCATTCCCTTTTAATAGCAGTCGTCTGAAGAAGAAACTGTAATAGCCATTCTTATGAAGATAAGACACGTCTTCTTTTAAATAGTAATCCAGTGCAATTGAGCTAGTTAATGTTATAGGGCATGATTGTCTTTACTTTCTGCAATCAGTGTTTTATTCACAGTTTTACAATAGGTGTAAATTTTTATCACTCGTTAGGCAAGCAGAAGAATGAATTGAACTTCAAGAGGATTACTTAAGAATTGGTTGCAGTGATATAACAGAGTAATAACTGCTCCAAGAGCCGACCATCCAGCAGGAGAAGGAAAAGTAAGTGTCCTATGAAACAGGAAAAGTTCAGATGGTCAAGAAAGGCAGAAAGAAAGAAACAGATAAATAGGAACATCTTCTGCCATGTCAATTGTGATTTCTAAAGTAAAAACCAAAGTTTATGGTAAAAGTTTTAGAAATGAAAAGTAAAGCACTGTTTTTTGGATCTCCTTTCCACTAGGCAGAGAAAAGTGGGGACAGAAGTTGCTTATTCAGGTAACAGGAAATTTAGAAGGCTAGTTAAGCACAGCTCTTGCTACAAAAAGTAATATAACTATAGGAATTAGGTCCACAAATGTGCAAGCAGGAGAACTGAATTCAGAATAATCTGAGAAACTAGATAAATGCATTGAGTGGGGGAATAAATCCAGGGTCACTTATTTGAGAGCTAGTCCTGTGAAACTAATCCAGTGGGAATTCCTTTTGAACAAACATGCATAGGACCTGGTTGCACATTAGTGAACATACCCATTTTGTATAATAGCCATAGGTGACCTGTGGTCCAAAGAGGGATGGCACCTCACCATGATCTAAGATTATATATTATTATAAAATGTTAGGGTGAGACGTCCTCTCTCCTTCAAACCATAAGCAGGCACCTGATATATAATCAAGGTTCATTAGCTGCAGAATTCAGTTCTGTCTTGCTAGGGAGCTGAAGCAACAAGAGGGAGAATCCTCCTTGCTACCCATTTGGTTTAGACCCATGAGGTTGTTTCTGTGGAGTAACTATATTTCCAGCATACACTGGTTCCAGCATGGGATGATTATAACTGAAGTGACATACATTATGTACCAGTGCAAACTGGTGCCTCTGATTTTGTGGGGTAATGGTGGTAGTGTATCTGTTCCAGGTTTTAATCAGGATTTTAAAGGAGCTAGCCAAAATGCAGAACCTCTTTTGAGGGCAGGGTTCAGCATCTTAGATAAGAGACTGTAAAGTTCAGACCAAAACCTGAAACGAATTCACTGCCCCTGTAAAACTGGAGTCACCAGCCTCCACTGGCATATGCATTCAAAAGGCAAAAATCCATTTGCTTTAACTAAATTAAAAGAGCATTTGATCCATACTGCAAACAGAGCTACCATTGTATGGTGGTGGTGGTGGGAGTAACCGCAATCAAAGTTTGAAAATGTTACTTTCTGGAATGATATCTCCCAGAAGTCCACACACACTGGCCGGGGGGGGGGGGGGGGGGGGGAGGGAAGAAAGAAAAAGAAAAAAATCCTTAAGAATGCATGTTGTTTAAATATATTTCCAATTTAATCTGGAGGAAATGAACAAGAGCTAATCTTTCAATGTTGCCCATGACTGTTGTTTTATTTTATTGTATTTTATCTTCAACAAGAGCTAATCTTTCTATGTTGCCAATGATTAAACAGCATCTGGAATGATTTTGCTGTACAACTGAAGGAGCAGACAGATGAAACATAATAGAAATGGAGGTCTATGAAAAGAAGCTAGTGTCATGTGGGATTTTGAGGTGGCAGAGAAATTGTGCAGAAAAAGAGTGTGACCCCATCCACTTTCCTCAGCCCATGGCTTCTAAAGTAGAGATAAATGTTTTGCATATATTTTAAAAATATTTCCTCTACAGTTACATGACCTGAATTCCATTTTAGAACCGTAATACTGTTCCCCAACTTGGTGACCTTTGAATGTGTCTGCTTTGGAAGGATGGCTCCTCAGGTCAGTGGTTTAGAAGAGACATTTTCTCATCAGCCTTCTGGCCTGAAGTCTTTGCATAATCAGATAGTCTTAACAGAAGACAAAGGAACTAGATTAGTTGACCTAGCCGGGACTAAGGAGGGGGACTGATATAGGTGGAGCCAGGAGGACCCATGAAAATATGCAGAGACTGATGCTCTGAAGAGAAGTCATTCTGTGACATGAAGTGCTTCTCCACACATTTTAGAAGTCTGAAAAATTAAGAACTCTGATTTTATGGGGAAGGTGCACATGTGGAAGACAAGGTCCTCTTTAAATTTAATAGTCTCCATAGGAAGAGAGAGAGAGAAGTTGGAAGAGGCAGGATTACCATGCAGCTTTTTCCTCACAGGTTCAGCCTAACCTGGACTCCAGAATAGGCTACATTTTCTTCCTCTGTTTCACGGATGTTTTTGTGAAAGCACACACACATACAAAGATATTTGACACTGACTAGGCAAAATGTCCCTATTTGGAAGGATTACCTATTCATGCAAAGAGCAGTTTGAGTGAGCTCTCTTCCTGAAGTGATTGGCTCATTTGTCTTTCAAACTGTAGTTACCATTTATCCATTTCCAGAGGCTCCAAGCTGTCATTCACTCCCAAGCCAAGGAACAATGTGGTTGAAAGGGTCATCAGAGTCTTCTTTGCATAATTTGGAGCAGATTTCACCTGTCTTCCGGAAGAGGCCAAACATGTCATGCTTGCTTGGTCCTCAGGGGGGGGAAATGTCTTCTTAGTTCTCTTAATTTGTTAATGACTTCAGATGCAATTAAACATTATGCCATTGCCCATGGCAACACATTGATTGTGTTCAGACATAATGCTAAACCACAGTTAACACTATGGAAATCAATGTCGGCACTGCCTCAGGTCTATGTACTCCTCCTTCCTTCTTGTGCAAACAAGAAGGAAACACTAGAACACTGGTTCTTAACCTTGGGTTACTCAGGAGTTTTGGACTGCAACTCCCAGAAGCCTTCACCACCAGCTGTCCTGACCGGGGTTTCTGGGAGTTGCAGTTCAAAAGCATCCGAGTAACAAAGGTTAAGAACCACTGCACTAGAATACCTTTTTTTTAATAGACTGTTGTAATATTGCTTATTGTTATATCCAAACAAAAAAACTATGGTTGGTTTTTAACTGATTTATCCAAATAAGTCAGGATTGGAAATCACAGTTTGAAGCTGGCGTGTCCTAATAAACCATCTTTCAGACTAGCTACAGTTTGTCTCAATTCACATATAAAAAGTTGCATTTACCGTAGCTGAAATATAGGAATCAAATCTTTCATGTCTTTGTCATGTGGCTATGCAAATGAGGGCATTCAAAGGGGCAGCTTTTCTAGAAGAAAAGACAGTGCTGCCCACTGGGTCAACACTTGATCGACTCATGGTCCAAGTGGGTGAATGCTTATTTCTCAATTGCAGGTTATGTTCCCCCACCCCCATCTCTAATTGTACTACACAGGCTACTACAATTTCAGTCTGGTGCTGCTACTTCAGATTCAAATGCTGAACTGAATAATAGTGGTATATTCTGGTGACACAAGACTTAGCATGTATCTATACTATACAGTTACAGCAGTTTGAGACTATATTAGCTCCCATGGGTCCATCCTATAGAATCTTCGGTTTTGTAGTGTTAGGAGACATTTAGGGTTCTCTGTTATAATTCCGGGGAGTGCCCTAGAGTTGTCTGTCAGACATGCTTGCTTACCTCCCTGAACTACCTATGCCAGGAATCTGCATGATAGAACCATGGCACTTGTGGTGGTATCAAAGTGCTGTCAGTTTATAATATAGATACATTCTTATTGTGGTCATAATTGAGGAGCTGAAACCCTCAGAAGTAGCTGTGTTTACCAAAACTGCTTTCTTTGTGAGGCTGCACATCTCAAGGTTGCTCCCATACTAGATGCATGGTACTGAATCCACAAGTCATAGGCACTCCCAGTCTGGTGCAGGTGAGCATTTCCTGGAAGATTAGAAATGGATGACAATAGTGCTTTGCCATCTCCTTGGAAGGGCTAAATTCAGTTAGTCCCCAATTAGAGTAAATCCACTGAATCAATAGGATTTACATAAGTGTTGACCTAAGTCCCATTAATTCAGTGGGCCTACCATAGCTGGGGCTAACAACTGGGTCTAATTGTCAGTGTTGTCCCAATGCTGCTTCTGTTGTTTTAATTTCTTTAGGAAGTCCAGGGTGGTTTTTTAAATAAGGATGGAAGTGGGAGCCCCATAGTTAATATATACCTTTATTTTATTTTATTTTATTTTATTGGATTTCTACCCCGCCCATCTAGACCAAAGGCACATGTTGTGATGTGGCAGGTTAATGTACAACATCTCATCCAACATTGACTATAATAATGGGCACCGTTTTATAAACTTAATTAATTCGTTACATGCCTCTTTTAATTATTGCTAAAATGTTTCCCTGGATATACATTTTTGAAATTTATTGATAATAAATACTGGTGCAAAAAGAATGTTGTGGTGTTACAACATTAGAATGATGATTTAAAAGCAAAAAAGAAAACTCTGAGCACCACGGTTTTCATGATCTTTGCTCCGACACCCCTCCAGTTAATAAATTCCAATATTCATTTCTGGGCCAAAACAAATATTGAACACTAATATAAATTTCAACAAATGTTGGAAAGTAGTAATGTGCAATCATGGTTAAGTGAATAAGAGCACTTAGCATTAAATAAGTATGCAATTTTTATTTCTTTTAATGGTTTGTGTAGAGTTTATTCAGTTATTTGTTTTCAGAGGGCCACTCAGTTGGATTACCCTTTTGCTTCTTTACTCATACTGGCTATTACACATTCGCTGATGTGAACAGAACACAGCAGGAGGAACATATAGAAAAGTGCAAAATTAAGTCAGTGCAATTCTGCTTGCCTCTTGCTCCATATAGACAATGATTTATTCATGCCACAAGCTGTAGTACTGTTATTTCAGTACAGTTGGGCTAGACCACGGTGGTCATAGGCAAAGCTATGGGTAGCTTTTGTACTTCTGTCACTGGAAATCCCAAATTATGGTGTAAATTTGGATCAAGGAATATGCGGCCCTTCAAATGATGGGAAACAAAACTCTGATAATCCTTTGCTATGGTTATGCTGGCTAGAGCTCATGGGTGTTGCAATCCAAAAATATCTGGAATGCTACATGTTCCTCAACAGTGAGGTAGGTGACACTTGGCTGAGATTGTTAGGTCATCATTATTTTTGTTGCTACAGCCTCTTCCTCTACCTTGTCCTTTTATCTCTGTGTTGCTC